CGACCGAATTACCATTGGGCATGGGTGCAACAAAAGGTTGATTCATAACAAAGGCACTACCACTGGCAATCTGAGGAGTGAAATTCAGAGGCATTTCCCATGGGAAAGCAACAGGAATTCTATTCATACCATGCTGAGCACTTGGTAGGTTGACAATAGGTTGAACAACAGTTTCAACCGGCACTTCAACAATAACAGGAGAAGAAGTAACAACAAGATGAGGAATCACTATAGGAGTGACAACAGTAACAGTTGCAACAACAGAAGTAGCAGCAACGACGTTCTTTTGAGCAACAAGGAACTCCATGATAACATCCATGTTGGTATGGAACTGATCCATCCGACCCTGAACCTAAACCAAAGTCTCCTTATAGGCAGCATTCTCTTGTTCAATATCAGCCATGATCTTGGATTTGCTTGAGCGAGTGAAATAACGATGTTAAGTCGTCGTCTTGCTACAAGGCGGAGATGGATAGTGTAAGCATTTTGGTTTTCTAGATAAAGGACATGCATATGAGTATAATTGAATGCAATGTATGCAAAAATAAAGTTTTAAATTCCAGGAATTCGTGAGCTTTATCTTTGTTAGCAATTATCATAAAGCAATAAGTAAGGACACAAAGATAAAACTGGCAAGAAAAACTCTTCATTCAATCCATGAGGTAAAGAAGTACAAGTTCAAATACAACTCAAATATCTGCCTTTTGAGATACAACAAGATCAACATGAATCCTATCAAAAATCACCCTACAAACAGACAAGAAATGAAAAGCATCCCGAGGAGTCTTGTGCGGTAGCACATCAGCATATGCATCCCTCAACAACCTTGGTAAATCCTCCAGTGCATGCTCGACAAATCTGGCTAGACGGCCGTGTCTCTCACTCCAATACTTTGCATCCTTCACGAGGTTGCGCAACAAGGAATGATTAGGTCCCTGAAGAAGATTATGTAGAAATGTCTCTTTCTAATCCAAGAGGACCTGCAGATGGCTGCTCTGACGCTCCCAATGAGTACTCTCCAAGTTGGATTGACTGATCTCATCTTGGTTCTGATGCACTTGATCCCGCAACTTCTTAATATCATTGAAGACTTTTTCGAGCTCAGCTTGACATTGAGAAAGGTTTTGCACCAACTGGTCATCACGATCTTGTTCACTCTGCAACTTTGTCTCGTACTCTGATAACTTTCCTCTAAGTTCTGCAAGTTGCTTCTTGTAGCTCAACTCATCCTTATGGGTTTGATACTGAGTATTAGCAAGTTGTCTCTTCTTTGAGGCAAGTCTATCATAATTACTCTTTAAAACATCACCTACTTTCCTCTGTTTGTTATGTTCAAAATCCACCTCTTTGAGCATGAGCTCCCTCTTCTGGTGAAGATCCACTTGTAAGCTTTCCTTCTTAGATGTGACTTTATCAAGGTCGAAACGAAGATCAGTGTTCTTCTTCTTCAACATCTCAATAACCTGCTTGAGTTGATCAACTTCAGATGGAGGATTAATGGCAAGTTGAGGAAGTTTGGCATTCATGGAAGGCTCAGAAGGAAATGGTAGCAAGATTACTTGAACTCGATCTTTAATCCATTGCGTGTAGGCTTCTTTTGCTATGTAGTTCTTTTCACCCAACTCTTCTCTTCCTTCATGGTGAATTTGTACCCATGCATCACTGAATCTCTTCAGCAACACCATGTCATCAACCCATTCATGAAAGATGAACTCTTCCACTACCTCAGGATCTGGATTGTCAAGCATAGGATACCGTAATTGATGGAAGACAAGTCTCAGATTTTAGTTAATTCCACCCTTTGTACCCAAGAGAGGTACATTGGAGAATTTACCACAATGAAGAATGATTTTGGTACCGTTGTATGCTCAAGAATACCAAGAGATGTCATCAGCAGTAAGAGACATGATCCTCTAAGCCCATTTGAGATTTCCACTATTCTCAATGAAAGGACCTTTCTATGAAAGATGAGACATAAACCATTAGTACAACATAGGTGCACAACATACAATAGTTCCTTTCTTCTTTTCATTCCTCGAATGAATAGAATAATAGGTATCAACAAGAAGTGTAGGAACATAATTCCTGGACAAGAAGATATTGATGGCAGCTTGATCTATGAAATCCTCCATGTTTGGAAACAAAACGATCCCATATATCAGTAAATCAAACACGACATTGAAAGCCTTCCAATTTCCAACTTCAACAAAAGAAACGACCTTGTCTACCAGAAACTTCGAAGCAAACCCTCGAATACCCTTTTCTTTAGTCTTGAGATTGTTTTCCACATCCTTCTTACTAATGCAAATAGCTTCAGCAATAAGAGGAAACTTCGGACAACTGCTGGTGTAGACAAAAGGAACCTAACTCTTGATCTCAACTCCCAAGATATGAGAGTACTCCTTAAGTGTAGCTGCTAACTGATAATCCTGAAACGTGAAGCACCTTAGTGGCGGGTTGTAGAACAGAACAAGTGTATGAATGGAAGTAATGTTGACTTCAGTGTTGAGGATGGCCAAAATATTTCCATAATTATCCCTGAAAACACCCCTGTCATCTTCAACCAAACAGGATGCCAAACCCCTCAAAGTCTTTAACTTAGGCTTCACAAACTTGTAACTAAAGATACCCCTGCAACCAATACTCATCTTCTATGATTATGCCAACAAAGAATAAGCTCCTGAATAACATGGAAATGCACATGCAAAAAATTAATTGTTATGATGAAATGATATGCAACACAAGAATCACGAAGCCAAGCACACTCTAAACAATCAAATATGCATAATCTGAATATCTGCATATACTTTAGTGTCGGTGCAAAAATCTAATGTGCATGAGAGAACAAAAGGTATGAAGAGTCTTGTTTTCCTGCAAAAATCCAATATCCCTCTCACAGGTGTGATCTAGACACAACAAGGTGGTCCCTAGAAAGGTCTCCCAAACCATAGGACTCAAGTGAAACCCCCCCTTGCTGTAGCGAAATCTCACAGGACGAAAGTGTTCTCAAGCGAATCACGATCTGGGATGTGGATCTTGTGACAACCCAAAACACAAAACACAGGCGTCACGACTATCCACGTTATATCCTATGTGAATGCTCAAGCCCGATGATAGAGCTTATCTCTCCAATAATATCTACTCATCCCAACAACAGCAAAATATAGCAGATATCCCGAATATGCAGCATATGAATATTTAAAGCAGTAAAGAAAATGCAGTAAATAACATAAAGATAAAACAAGTAAAGCATACAAGATAAACACCCAAACAAAACAAGAAAGCAAACAAAACTAGGCGAGACCCCAACTTGCAAGCGCAAGGACTCCCCAGCTGAGGCTAGCGAGATTATACCTGAGTGAATCACACACTTAAAGATACAACAGAGTCTCCACCGAACTTTATTTAGTCCCAAAGGACGGGGAAAATATCGATAAAACCCAAAGGGAAGATAAACGAGTAAGGGGGTCGGTTATGTGAAAGGAAGGTACTAGCACTTTAAGCATCTGTCGTACTCGACGGGAACCATTTCGCTTACTTTTAAGCTTGGATGGGTTATCTATCTAAAGGCTTCTATCTAAAAAGAGATAAGAGATAAGAGAAAAGAAAAAAGAAAATTGAAGAGAGAAAGAAATGCTTGCGGAGGATTGGGGCCCTCGTGCCTATGTATACTCATAGTGCAATGAGGAATTCAGAGCTTTGTATTTCATGGAACCAGGAAAGAGAGAAAAGGTGGAAGAAGGTGGCTCGCCAAGATTTCACAATCTTGTGCCTATGTACCCTCATAGTGCAATGAGGAAGTCAGAGCCTACGTAGTTCGGGGAACTAGGACAGAGAAAGAAAAGGAAAAAGAGACAGTGTCAAAACCAAGAGCTAAAGGAAGAAAGCAAGACCCAATTGGGTAGGGATGGCAAAAAAGCTCGTGCCCGCGAGTATCCGCGGATATAATCCGTCACGGATACAATGTGGATAGCTTAATGGATATCCATGGATAAAATAAATGGATATTTAAATATCCGTTATTTAATGGATGTGGATGCGGGTTTAATGATACCCATACCCGCGGATATCCATACCCGTTAATAAATTATAAAAAGTATTTAAATATTTTTAATTTATTATAGACGTCATTACATCTTCCAAGAAATTTAGTCTTTTCATATTTTTTTTAACGTTTTCTTGGAAGAAAAAGAAAACCTTTCACATTCCAAGAAAAATCATATTTAGTCATTTTATATTTATTTAGGCTTCTATATTTTAGACCTAACTTCTCTTTCACTTTCACAATTCCCCTGTCCAACTCCAACCCAAAGAACCAGTACCGTCTTTTCTCTATCCAACACTGCAACTCAAAGTCCTAATTTCCTAAATGATTAAGGTAATCTATCTACCTTGTTACATTTTGTTCTTGTTCTTGCTATTTTAATTTTAATTTTGGTTGTTGCAACACTGAAGTAGTAATAGGTGGGGCTGCAAAATAGTTTCTTATTTTAAGGCAATTATAATGCAAAATACTAAACCCTAAACTAGTAAAAAGAAGAAGCACTATATACATTCTTTTTCGTTTCATTGATATAAAAATGATATTCATGTGTGCCTATTCTTTCTATCTATAGGCTCTTTTATTTATTGTTATATTCATGTGTTATTAATATATGCAATGAAATATAATCATACTATATCAAGTAAATGATAATTTTTTCTCATTATAGGTTTTCTCATATCTACGTTATGCATCTTTATAGGTTTCTTTGTTTTTTTATTTTAATGTAAACGTTTCACCATTATTATAATATTAATATTGTTATAGTTAATGCTTTTTAATTATTAATTTATATTTTTAATTGCTAATTATTCATTATCTCTTAGTTTTTTTTTTCCGGTTCAAGTTTACCGTTGATAATTTGGACCACAATTGTTATACAGTATTGAATATTGATATTGATATTAAAACTATCACATTAATACAGTATTGACAAATTTATCTTTTTTTTTGTAGAATGTCTTTTGAACAAACCTTTACTCCTATAGAAGTTATGCAAGAGAATTTGGCAGTCTCAAACGCAAATGAGTCTAACGTTGTTGCTTCAAATGGTCCGAATGTAGAAATTAATTCAACTCCTAATGAAATTGAAAGTCCTATTTCATGTGAAGTTGACACTGAAGGTCTTAAAAGAAAGTTAACTTCTGAAGTTTGGAACCATTTCAAAAGGCAAAAAATAGATGGAAAGTTGAAGGCCATTTGTAACTATTATGGTGCAAAACTCTTGGGTGTTCCAAAACAAGGAACGTCACACTTAAAATCACACATTAAGTCTTGTCCACGTCGAACAAATCGAGATATAAAGCAAGCTTTGATAAAAACTGAACAAGTTGATGGTCAAACTGTAATGGTAGGTTCTTATGCATTTAACCAAGACATAGCAAGGTATGGTGTTGCTAAGATGATAATTCTTCATGAGTATCCTCTAGCAATCGTTGAACACATTGGTTTTAGAGAATTTTTTGCTTCTATGCAACCTCTATTTAAGGTGGTTTCTCGTAACACTATCAAGAATGACATCATGAAAATTTATAACGATGAGAAAGAGAATACCATGAAGTTGTTGTCAAAGAATCAAAGTCGTATTGCAATCACCAGTGATATGTGGACTTCAAGTAACCAGAATAAAGGCTATATGACAGTTACAGCTCACTTTATTGATGATTCATGGACCCTTCAAAGTCGACTTGTAAGGTAATAACAGTAAATTATTTTGATTTTTTTGTGTATAATGTTAGTAATATTGTTCTTGAAAATTTAATTTATGTTAGGTTCATTTATGTGCCTGCTCCTCATACTAGCAAAACTCTAGCTGATACCTTGATTCAATCTTTGATGGATTGGAACCTAGATACAAAGTTGTCCACAATGACTGTTGATAATTGTTCTACGAATGATGCTATGGTTGAACGCATTTTAAATAAGATTACACCTAGGTCATTGATATTGGGTGGCAAATTGTTTCACATGCGGTGTTCTGCACATATATTGAATTTAATTATGAAAGAGGGTTTATCCATAATCTCTAGTGCCATTGAGAATATTAGAGAAAGTGTTGTCTTTTGGACAACAACCCCTAAAAGAGAGGAGAAATTCATAGAGACATGTGGTCAAGTGAACATTTCTTATGATAAAAATTTGGTTCAAGATTGCAGAACTAGGTGGAATTCTACATTCTTAATGCTTAATGTTGCCATACAATATAAAGATGTGTTTGGTCGATTGGCAAAACGAGATACTCAATATAAAACCTTGCCTAGTGAAAATAAATGGATGAAAGAAAAAGAAATTTGTGAAAGGTTGGAAGTTTTTTATGATGTTACACAACTATTTTCTGGTACCAAGTATCCAACTGCAAATGTTTATTTTCCCAAAGTATGTGAAATGAAATTGGCTTTAGTTGAATGGCTTAGTTCTACTGATTGTGTCATTAAAGACATGGCTTCAAGTATGCTTTCTAAGTTTGACAAATATTGGAAGGTGGTCAATGGAGTGATGGCAATAGGCATTATGTTAGATCCAAGGTACAAAGTTGATTTGTTAGATTACTTTTTTCCTCTAATTTATGGAGATGAAGCTGATAATGAAATTGAGAAGGTAAAATCTTTGTTTCAAAATATGGTAATTGAGTATAATTTGAAAATAAAGGAGAAAGAGAATGTTTCTTCATCCTCAAATCAAACTCAAATTGTGTCTGATGCAATTGTTGTTGGCAAAAAAGAAGCTTGGAGGTCTAATTTTGCAAAACATGTCAGTGCAAAAAAAAGTGTCATGTCTAGTAGGTCAGAATTTGACGGATATATAGAGGAGAAAGTGTTACCGGATGATGAAAATTTTGACATCTTAGGTTGGTGGAAGGTTAGTGGATTAAAATATCCAATCTTGAAAATGATTGCAAGGGACTTCTTAGCAATTCCTATTTCAACGGTTGCTTCCGAGTCTTCTTTTAGCACAAGTGGTCGGGTTCTTACTCCTCATCATAGTAGATTGCGTTCCGATACTTTAGAGGCATTGATGTGTGTCCAAGATTGGCTATGGACTGATGTGAAAGGTAATCAATTTTATAACATATTTTTATTACAGTGATTAATTATAATAAATTATTATTTGACATATTTTTATTACATTGATTAATTATAATAAATTATTATTTGACATATTCTTATTTCTTTTCAGGTTATACCAAATCAAAAGTTGAGGTTATTGAAATTAATTCAGTATTGGAAGATATGGATGCTGACATTATTAGTGAATGAAATTGTTAGTGTATCTTATAAGATTTGGTTACAAATATCACTGTTGTTTTGGATATTTTATTTGGAATCTTTTAAGCTTTTAATTTAGGAGCTAGGAAACCAAAGTATGAATGTTAAGCAAGGAATGCATAATATGGAATTTTGTAATGATTGATGAAAACTATTTGCATTATTACTTTTTGTTTTATTTAAACAATTATTATATGGTATGATGAATTTTATTTTGTTAAAAATGAAATGTATGGATATTATGTTTGAATGTTATTATGTTTTAGTGAAAAAAGAATGAAAATAATATGATGAAGTTTAGTTGTTAAATTGAGAGCGAAAAAATATATTTTTAAAAAATAATTTTAGACAAAAAAAGTTATTCATGGATATCTGTAAATATCCGCGGATACCTTAAAACCCGTGGATTACCCGCTTAACTGATATCCGCATGGATATGGGGCATATACAGATATCATATTTATCCAATGGGGCAGACACGAATATCATACTATCCGTCCCCATGGATATCCATTTACATCCCTACAATTGGGGGATACAATCAAATGTGGTGTCAAAACCAAGAAAAAAAGACAAAGGAAAATTCTGTTAAGGAACGCAGAAAGGAAGTGATAACTCCACTAGGGATAAAATAAAAGAATGGTGTCGAAACCAGGAGAATACAAGATAATAATGAAGGTAAAGATAAGATCCACAAGAGACTTGGTGCATTAACTGGCGAGCAGTGATTGACTGAAGAAAGATAAGAGTTAGACTCTGTGGGGAAAGCAAAAGGTTGATGTCAACAGACGGACTATGATGAACCAAAATGAGAGTATTGAACCAAAAGAAGGTGTTTGACTCTCTAGGAGACTCGGTGTATTAACTAATAAATAGTGGTTAACCAAAAAGAGAAAATAAGTTGGTTTTAACCGACATACAATGATCAACCAAAAAGACGGGTGCAGAACCAAGCAAAGGTTGTGACCCAAAGGGACAGGTGTGGAACCAAGCGAAGGTTGTGATCCAAAGAATGGTACGCTAACTGAACAAGCAGTACTTAACTGAAGGAAATGGTATTTGAACTAAACAAAGGTTACTAACCCAAAGGTGTGAGTGTTTGGACCAAAGAAAGATTGCTAATTGCAGGAGATTCGATGTTTAACAAATGAAATATGATTAACCGAAAATAATGAGTGATTAACCAAAAGAAGGTGATTAACCCAAGGAAAACTGGTTTTAACGGGCAGACCATGATTAAATAAAGAATAGGTGATTAACTGGGAGAAGGTGATTAACCTAAAGGAAACTTAGTATGTTAACAGACGGAGTTATGGTTAACTGAGAAAAGAATAAATTGGCGATTAACTAATAGGCAATGATTAACCCAACAAGAAGGGAGATAGAACCAAGGGAAGGTTGCAAACTCCACTAGGGATTTAGAATTTACAGCCAGACTGCGTTTAACCGAAAAAAGGATTGACTTCGCTGGGAAGAAGAGAATTTGGCTTTACCTAAGGAACGATAGACTAGCCAAAGAAAGGACTAATTACAAATTTTATGGGGAAACCCATAATAGATTGGCCAAAAGAGAAAGGAATGTCAAATCGAAAGAAGGAACTCTAACCAAGAGACAAAGATTAGGGTGCATGTGATCAATGATCGACTCGGCTGGGAAGAAGAAGACGCTACAGTAAGGAGATAGAGATGACTATTCCAGGCACAAGCTCATTCGTACCCTACCCAAAATAGTCAGAATGAGTGTAGGAATTCTCCACTCTCATTCCTTCTCTAACACTAACATGTAGTACGACAAACGAAACTGACAGAGTAACGACGCAAACTTGTACAAAGCTCCAACGTGTTACAAATCTTCGACTTCGTGGGGGAACGAGAGAACAAAGCTCCGAAAGGAAAGAAAAGAGAAGAAATAAGTAAAATCAACTAATCAAAATAAGGTTTCGTCAATTGATCAAAAGGGAATGATGTGCTAACAATTTTCCAAAGGAGATGAAAAATCATTAAAGTAAAATGGTGAATTATTGATTATACAAGATTAAGTTCATTCCAATGAAGAAAAAACTTAATGCAAACATGAATGGAAATGCAAAATAGTACCAATTGTCATTTAGTATGCATCACAAATCATGTAGCATGTGATCAAAGGATGTGCAAGAATGGTCATGATCATACAAGTGTCACAAAATGCAAATAATCAAGAATTGACAAATCACACATTGAAAGTTTGCGTACATGCTTCTAACAGAAGTTAAACAGCTCATAAAACATCCACAAATATCAAGCATATCAAGCCATGGAAGTTAAATGAGAAAAGAATAGCAAACAAGCTTGAAAATAAGAAAAAATGACATTCTGTTACAGTGGTAATCGATTACCACATGCAGGTAATCGATTACCTGCTCAAAAATTGCAAAACCACGTGAAAAATAAGCAGGGTAATCGATTACCCTTATATAGGTAACCGATTACTACTATAACAGTGGCAAAAAACAACTTTTCAAAAAGCACTTTCAGCAATCAAAACACTTATCCAACTATCCACATGTTATGATAAATATTTGTGCACGAAAATTAAGTTCAAAAACATCAATTAGACATCAATTGAATCAATTAATTCATCAAGAACAAGAATCAAACAATTGCACAATCAATTTGCACACAAGAAAAATTATTGAAGCTACTTCATGACTTATACGAAAGTGATCCAAAATAATATATCAAGTGAGAAATTCCAACCTACAAGGCGGAGGATTACCTTGGTGATTGTTGTTATTGATATGTGATTAGAAAGATCAAAGAAAACCAGAGAAATTTGAATTTGCAACCGAACCGTATTGAAACTGAGCAAATTGCGAATAAATCTCCAAACACGAATTTTCATCGAAGAAACTTGAGATAATTACTTGAGTTGAAGCAAAAGCCAATAAAACTCCAGAAAACCAAGTAGAGTTATGAGATGATGATGGTTAAGCTCAAGAGAAAAGCACTTCCAATGTAAAAGTTGCTACTCTTCAATGGTGAATTTAAGCTCTAATGAGGTTTTGGGAAGAAGATGAAGATGAATGTGAAGAAGTTGTAGAAAATGCAAAGAGAATTGAGAGAAACGAGAGATTGAAGAATGAAAATTGAGAGAGAATTGTAAAAATGGTTGAAGGTCCTTAAGAAATGGTGAAAATTTGTTTATATAGAGTGGTGGTTTGGAATTACAAGGTTTAGAATATGCTTTGGAGTTTTCTTTGGAACTAGCCTTGGAGTTAGTTGGACTCAACTCACTAAATTGGAAGTTAACTCAGTTAGTTAGGTAGTTGACTTAGTAGCAATCCAAATGCAAGTTCAAATCAAAGGGTTCTCATGCTTGCGAATGAAGTTACATGGTAGTCTCAAGAGATTATAATGTTAAACCAGAAATGGTGAACGTATCATCATTTCTTAAAAGTCTGTGATGCTGATGAACGCATAGGATGCCGTACCTTGTCAGTTTAGGTCCATACCTGTGAGTGGGAGGGTTTTTGCAGGAAACTTAACTTCCAGCCAACCCGGTATTTTGGTTTTCTCTTTAGAGTGAACTTACTCAGTCAGCAGCGCAGCAGTATTTAGAGCTTTGCGGGGGCTGTGATCCCATGTTTGCTGCATCTTACATTGCATTTGCATAAGCATCTTTGCATCATTTTGCATATCATTCTTCAGCTAGCCAGAGCTCTTATCCAGCCTTTGTTTTACTTCAGAAGGTGATTCTCGGTGTTTGGTCTGAGCAAGTGTTGATTGTTAGAAGACGACTAAGGGGTTGAAGTAGAATCAATTAGAATCAAGCAGTGTCAAGCAGTGTAGTCAGTTGAATGTTATCGGGAGATATGTTAGGGAACAAATTCCAGATTGTTGATACCTTGTCAGGTTTTACTGTGATGACCAATCCTCTGTATGGTTCTTTGCTCGATGAAGATTTTCCACAAGTGAACAACATAACTGAAGCTCAGTCTCTGCAGCTTTCTGTTGAGAACCAAGAGCAGCATGAACAGTCAGTTGCCCGAAGTGAACATTCTTCTTATCTTGATACCTCAGATTATCATGATGTTGTTTCCTCTGTGTTGATTGCCAGAAGAGAAGTTCCGGTAGTGAAGACTGAAGACCCGAGAGCTCTCGTGTATGCCGAAAGGTTTCATGCATTGGAGGAAGGATTCAAAGCCTTAGAAGTCAAAGATACTGTTGGTCTCAATGCTTCAGATATGTGTCTGGTTTCCGACCTAGTATTACCTCCGAATTTCAAAACACTGAGGTTTGAAAAGTACAAAGGGGATAGCTGCCCGAGGCAACATTTGGTGATGTTCTGCAGAAGAATGACTTTGTTTGTGCACGACGAAAAGTTGATGATCCACTGTTTTCAAGACAGTCTGATTGGGGCATCTCTGAGTTGGTATATGCAGTTGGAGAGTAATCAGATCCAATCATGGGTGAATTTAGCCAAAGATTTTCTGAAACAGTATGACTATAATCTGGACATGGCTCCCAGTCGCATGAAGTTGCAAGAATTGTCTCAAGAGAACAATGAACCTTTCAAGAAGTCTGTTCAGAGATGGAGAGAATTTGCTTCCAGAGTGCAACCACCGCTTCTAGATCGAGAGTTAACAAACATGTTCTAAACTCCTTGCAGAGCCCGTACTTTGAAAGAATGCTTGGGATTGCACCAAATTTCTTTGAATTGGTAAGAGCAGGAGAACGTATTAAGTATGGCGTAAAAACTGGAAGAATTCAGAATGTTTCAAGCGGTCAGGCTGGTGAAACCGAATCTCTCTGTAGCTTTCAAACTGGAAGAAATCAGGATGTTTCAAGCGGTCAGGCTGGTGAAACTGAATCTCTTTGTAGCTTTCAAGCTGAAGATGAAATTGTGGTCAATGCAGTCATGACAGATGTTGGGTATTCTCAAGATGAATCGGTGAAATCTTTTGGTTCTTCATCTTCTCAGCGGTCAGTATCTTCTGTGTCTCGTTATTCTG